CCGCTGGGAAGCTGCACTCCCTCCAAGCGCTGGTTGAAACCGTCGCCGAAGGTCAAGGAAACAATCTCAGCCATGATATCTGTGTCTTGAATCGACGCGCTCCTTGCCAATGCCCGTTGCAGACTGTGTGTCGCGTAGCCGGCGCCAAGCTTTCGAGCCACATAGGTCACCTCGTGGTCTTGAGCTTCTTGCAGCAGCGGCTGGTGCAGATCGAGGACACAGCCACCTGAACTTAGCAGGATTGACCCCGGGGGCTTGCCAACTCTTCCTGCTATGCGTCTCCGCACATCCCACCCCGTTTCCGTAGCGTCCACATGGAGCTCAAATGTCGAGCCGGCAACGCAGTGGATGGTCAATGGCCACGTGCTGGCTTCCATATCCTAAACCCTAAAAACCCTAAACCCTAAAAACCCAACAAACCCTGAAAAACCCTAACAAAAAACCCTAAAACCCCCAAACACCCTAAAAACCCCAAAAAACCAAAACAACCCAAAAAGCCCCCTAAAAAACCCTAAAACCCCTAAAAACCCCGAGGCAGCCAAGGGCTGTGCTTTGCCTGTCTCGATGCTGCGGCACAGAAGCGAGCTGAAACGCGTCCCCTTGCTGTAGCGGTTTAGGGTTTAGGGTTTAGGGTTTAGGGTTTAGGGTTTAGGGTTTAGGGTTTAGGGTTTAGGGTTTAGGGTTTAGGGTTTAGGGTTTAGGGTTTAGGGTTTAGGGTTTAGGGTTTAGGGTTTGGGGTTTGGGGTTTGGGGTTTAGGGTTTAGGGTTTAGGGTGTAGGTCTATGGTTTAGGGTTTAGGCTTTAGGGTGTAAACCCTGTGTGCCCTGAGGAAATACCCTATAAGCCTATGTCCAGCCCTGTACCCTATGCACAACCCTGAACCCTAAACCCAAAAACAAACACCCCAAAAACCCTCTAAACCCCGTGCACAACCCTATATACCCTATGTACAACATTTATACCCCATGTAAAGCACTTAGTAAGCCCTGCAAACCCTACGCATGTCTAACCCCATATACCCTACTTGAAGGTTCAGGGACTGAAAACCTCATTTACAACTGCACGCACAAGCCCCCTAAGTCCTAAGCAGGCTCATCACTGGGGTTACAAGTATCCATGAAACCTAAACCCTAAACCCTAAACCCTAAACCCTAAACCCTAAACCCTAAACCCTAAACCCTAAACCCTAAACCCTAAACCCTAAACCCTAAACCCTAACCCCCGCCCCCCCCCCGCCCCCAAACCCACCTTGAAGCTGTAGAAGCGCTGGTACCGCCGGCGGGCGAGGAAGCCCCTGGCCAAGCGCTGCCTTGGATCAGTGTACAGGGTGTTTGTAGGGTTTGGGATGAACCCAAAACCCAAAACCCTAAACCCTAAACCCTAAGCCCTCTTAAGGTTCAGGGCCTAGAGGTTTTTGACCATTCAGGGCCCAGGGTTCAGGGCGCAGAGCTGTATAGGGCACCTTACACGCGCCACGCGCACCGCAATGGGGAAGACATCAGCAGCCCGGAAGCCAAATGACAGCTTGAACCAACCTTTCTAAGCCTCTCAACCCCTAAGTTTAGGGTTTAGGGTTTAGGGTTTAGGGTTTAGGGTTTAGGGTTTAGGGTTTAGGGTCCTCACCCACAACCACAAACAAAAGACCCACAAACCCTCCGCTTATGAACCCAAGATTTTTGTGAAGTAGGGGTTTTTCTTTCTTGTATCCTCAAAAGGACACCAAGTATGCTTATGAACCCAAGATATATACGCCCCTTAGGGCATGATTGCTGCCACCGACCGGAAGCTCAAACAGAATACTTTGGGGCGCCAGGGTGCGCCAGGGGGCTGCACCCCAACACCCCTTAAAGCCTAACTCCTACTTGGAGGTTCATGGTACTTCATAACCAATTATAACCGCACCTCGGGCTGGACTTGTAACCATATTAGGGCACTTAAGGGGCTTATAAGTTGGTTATAGGTACAGTTCTAGTTGGTCAATAAGTCCCCCAAAACCCAAAACCCAAAACCCTAAACCCCAAACCCTAAACCCGAAACCCGAAACCCTAAACCCTAAACCTCCAAGTAACCCTCCCTGCTGCATGCCCGAGCTTCATGGTCGTGGCCGCTGTGTTGAGGCGCTTCATGCGCGTCCTACGAGGGGTTTAGTAGTTAGGGTTCAGGGTTTAGGGTTTAGGGTTTGGGGCTTAACATGGGTTTAGGGTTCACGGAGGGTTTAGGGTTTAGGGTTTAGGGTTTCGGGTTTAGGGTTGAGGCCTCGCTTGCGCTACCGCTGCGGTTTAGGGTTTAGGGTTCTAGGGTGTAGGGTTCAGAGATTTGGGTCTAAGGCTTCGGGGTTTCGGTTCAGGGTTTACTTGCAAGCTACTGTGCAGTTCAGGTCCAGGGATGACTTACAAGTTCTTCTAGTAGAGGTACCCCTTTTCAGTCCCTTAAAGGTTGATGCAGAAGCGAAAATAAGGTACATGCCCCCAATGCCCTACAAAGAGCCGTAGTATGTAAGCTCGGGCCTTAGGTACTGAAGGCTTGAGGCAGACGGCTTTGGCTGCCGGTGACAGAACTTCGTCAAGACTTCACAGCTCTTGGAAGGCCTAAGCCCTAAACCCTAATTAAACCCTAAGCCACATACACTCACAACCCATTGCTTCAGGGTTTGTTCAAGTCCAAGTCAACCTTCTTAAAGTTTTAAGGTCGGGATTTCGGGTTTCGGGTTCAACCCCAAAAACCCTCAGAGGGTTTAGGGTTGAGGGTGCTAGGAGTCCAGGTTCAGGGCTTCCTGGGACTCTTCTGCCTCGGGGCCACTTTGGGGGTTAAGAGTTGAGGGTCCCACGCACGGAGCCGCAATGATCTAGAGTGCTGTACATCACCTGAACCCTAAATCCCAAAGTCCCTGAATCCCTACGTCTGACATGTCTAAAAACCCCTACATCCCTACATCCCTAAACCTAAATCCCTATGTCCCTCAATCCCTAGATCCCTCTAAATCCCCCAAATCCAAAGTCCCTAGATCCCTAGACCATAAACCCTAAACCCTCAATCCCAAAGCCTACTTGGAGGTTCATGGTAATTACTTATTAACAACTATAACTAAAACTGTACTTATAACCCACTTACAAACCCCTTAGGTGCCCTAATATGGCTATAAGTACAGGTAGTTATAAGAACAGCTAGAATTGGTTCTTAAGTACCGACTGATGGTTATAAGTACACTTATAAGTAACATAAGTACAGTCATACTTGCTTAATAAGTACAGTCATAAGTACAGTTAAAAGTACATAAGTACAGTCATAATTGCTTAATAAGTACCATGAACCTCTAAGTAACCCTAAACCCTAAACCCTAAACCCTAAATCCCTTCATAGCCTCGTGAGGATGCCAACGCACCGCTTCTGGATCGTCACCGCAGCGCGATGCTGGCGCATGGCCTCGGGGACTGTTTCCCTTAGGGTCCATGTACCTGAATATTATTGGTTTAGGGTTTAGGGTTTAGGGTTTAGGGTTTAGGGTTTAGGGTTTAGGGTTTAGGGCTTAAAGTACTTCCTATAAAGGGAGGGGCCCATGTACATAATGATGAGGCACATGGACTTTTAGGCTCTTGCTTCGGACAGAGAAAGGGGAGTTGATGAGTCTATGGGGTTTAGGGTTTAGGGTTGAGGGTTTAGGGCTTAGTAACCCTAAACCCTAAACCCTTTACCCCTAAGCCCTAAAAAACCCTAAACCCTGTCAGGGTTAGCATTGAAGCCTACTCTTAAACTCTGAATCCTAAACCCTAAACCCTAAACCCTAAACCCTAAACCCTAAACCCTAAACCCTAAACCCTAACTTGCTACGGGCTTGAGGGTTGATGGCGCTCTCTCAGCTGCCCACGCGCCGCACCAGAACACCGCGGACGATCTTCTGGATGTTGGTAACCATCTTGTCCTCCGGTGTGTTAGGGTTTAGGGTTTAGGTGTTTAGGTGTTTAGGAGTTTAGGGTTTAGGGTTCAGGGTTCAGGGTTTAGGGTTTGGGGTTTAGGGTTTGGGGTTTAGGGTTTAGGGTTCAGGGTTTAGGGTTCAGGGTTTAGGGCTTCGGGGTTCCGAAGGACCCCAAGATTCCTAAACCCTACACGCTAAACCCTAAAAGAGGAATGCAGGGCTTCGGAATCCGCATGTCTCGATATGTTTGAACGCTTGAGGCTCGATGGTGTCACTTGGGTTAGGATTTAGGGCTCAGGGCTTAGGATTTCGGGTTGCCTAAACCGTTGGGGGTTTGGTGTGGAGAAGGTTACTATACTCCATTAAAGCCGATAAAACTCTATAGGACCCTAAACCCTAAACCCTAAACCCTAAACCCTAAACCCTAAACCCTAAACCCTAAACCCTAAACCCTAAACCCTAAACCCTAAACCCTAACCCTAAACCCGAAACCCTAACCCCGTGTACCAGAGGTGGAAGCAGTCCAGCTTCACACGCCGCACATGGTACGAGCGCCAGTGTGACCTGGGCAGTTCCAGTGCAGTGACTGAGGCCCCTCTACAGTCCACACAAGGGTTTGGGGTTCAGGTGTTACAGGCAGTAGATTATAACTACACTTCTGATTTGGGTTCTAATTACCCATGAACCTCCAAGTGCTCTTGAACGGTTCGACTGAAAGCCCTGAGCCCTAAACCTCGTAAATTGTGGGCGGTTAGGGGGTCGGGGGGCAGTTGAGTTCAAACAACCTGTACGCTTAGGCCCTACGGCGTGGGCTTCGGCAACCGGAAACAGGGTTTAGGCTTTATAGGGTTTAGTGTTTAGGGTTTGGGGTTTAGGGGGTTTAGGGGGTTTAGGGGGTTTAGGGGGTTTAGGGGGTTTAGGGGGTTTAGGGGGTTTAGGGGGTTTAGGGGGTTTAGGGGTTTAGGGGTTTAAGTGGGTTTAGGGTTTGGACTTTAGGTTGAAACGTGGTCGGGGCTTTGGGCTGCTCATGCTTTGAAAAACTCTACAAATATGCTCCAACTAAGCCTGAAGTCCAAGTTGGAACTTGCTACGGAATCCACTCGCGCTCGGCTGCCACATCACCTAGGCCAATCATGAGCGGTAAGCCCTAAGACCTAAACCCTAAACCCCAAACCCTAAACTCCAAACCCTAAACCGTAAACCGTAAACCCTAAACCCTAAACCCCAAACCCCAAACCCTAAACCCTAAACCCTAAACCCCAAACCCGAAACCCTGAACCGTAAACCCTAAACCCTAATCGGCCCTCTAGTTCATGGTTGGGATAATACTTAAAATTTGAATTTCTACTCCTTGTTGGGTTTAAGTACCCGTAAAGAATGTCCCTAAACCCTAAACCCTAAGCCCTAAACCCCAAACCCTACTATGACAAAGCCCTAGTGGCTGGATCATGGTGGCGCAGATCCAGGTGACGGTGATCCACTCTGAGTTCTCCTGCCACGGATGAGGCCTTTAGGGGTTCAGGGTTTAGGGTTTAGGGTTTAGGGTTTAGGGTTTAGGGTTTAGGGTTTAGGGCTAGGGCTACCTACCCGGCCGAATACACCTTTCAGATGTTTATATACCTCAAGGAAGGGACGCTGATATGCCCTTCTGTCGGGGTACGTATCCGACCACAGCCCCAATGTGACAAGGACCCTAAAGCCCGAACCCTAGACTTCGGGTTCAGAGATTCTGGAGTTTAGAACCCTACCCCTCAAGCCCTGCCCACCAAACCCTAAACCCTAAACCCTACACCCTAAACCCTAAACCCTAAACCCTAACTAAACCCTAAACCCTAAACCCTAAACCCTAATTAAACCGTGAACCCCACAAAGGCGCCTGCAGGTACTTGTGCCAGTTGCGCCAAGTGATCTGAATGATGGAGGCTGCGGCATTCTGCTCCTTGCTAAAAGGCGGGTTTTTGGTTTAGGGTTTAGGATTTAGGGTTGAGGGTTTAGGGATTAGGGATTATGATTACTTTACCAGTTCTTAGAGGGAATCAGGGAACTTAGGCAACTACTATATGTATCCCCTCTTTCTAGCTCTCCAAAATGGCACTGGCAACCCTCCAGACCCGAAATCCTGCATCCGGACGTAACAAAAAAAGGCCCAGTCTTCAGGGTTTTGGTTTCAGGGCTTAGGATTATTGAGGGTTCAGGATGATTTAGGGTTTAGGATTCTTTAGGGTTTAGGATTATTTAGAGTTTAGGATTTAGGGTTTAGGGTGTAGGGTCTCAGGTTGGATTCAGGGCTTAAGGCTTCAGAGGCTAAGGGCTTGGTGAGTTCAGGGTTGAGCAAGTTGAGGTAAGTTTAGGGTTTAATCGCTTCCCCCTTTTATTCAATGGACCCCTAATAATAAAAAAAACACTTTTAAAAAACACTTTTCGGAAAATCCTGCCGAAACCAACCCCGCCATTAAAACCCTATTCCGAATTAGGGGGGGGGGGGGGTTCAGGCCTCCAAGAAACCCCTCAACACCAATAAAACCCTCAGAGGGTTTAGGCTTGGGTGTCTAGGTCTATCTCTCTCTCTCTCTCTATCTTTCTCTTTCTCTCTTTCAGTTTACACCACACTTACTTAAGTTGATTACTTGAGTAACCCTGAAGTCTAATGAATTATGACATTTCGATAAGCATAACCCCTAATAATAAAAATACTTTTCGAATTCTTAAAGGGGGGGGGGGGGGGGGGGGCGTTATGTTATTAGGGGGGATGGGAGTAGGGCTGAGGTTCCCAGGTTCCAGCCCTGAGTCACAACTGCAGCCTAAGTTTCAACCAATATTTGCTTAAGAGCCGCCCACCCCTCCCCCCCCTCCCCCCCAAAAAAAACACTATAAATAATAATAATAAAAATAATGAAATAAGTAAATAAATCATAGAAATAATAGTAACAATAATAATAATAATCCCTACTACTATGTTCCTAATATAAGGTAGGAAGTTTTTTTTTTTTTCTTTTTTTTTTGGGGGGGGGGGGTTCTTAAGCTAATAGTAGACAATACTAGTCACCGACTCGAGATTCATATGCGACGTATAGGATCTGGGGTACATGAACCCAAGCCCAGCCCAGCACCCCTTAGTCCTATGGGTTTAGGGTTTAGGGTTTCGGGTTTAGGGTTTAGGGTTTCGGGTCCTTGTCCTAAACCCGACACCTGAAGCCTAGACCTTGCTGAGGCCTCCCCCCGCTTACCCTTTAACCTTTAACGAACCGAACCCCCCCCCCCCCCCCCCAACAAACAAAAAATCGAAAACATACATGAAATGATAAAAAGACACTCTTAGGCAAAGGGTGGTGGGGCCCGCTTCACCCTCAACCCTATACACCCTAAACAGGACCGTTCGGGTTAGCATATTGCGGCTTAGGGCTTTAGGGGCTTAGGGTTTCGTGAGTTCAAGGTTCAGAAAGCTTAGGTAACTGTAGGGTTTTGGGCTTAGATTCCAGCCTTGAGTTGTAACAGGCCCCGAAGAATTGGAAAACACCCGGACAATGAGGCTCTTGAGTGTAATTAAGGCCCTCGTCTGGGTTTTACACTATGGCACATATATATATATATATATGTATAGAATTGGAAAACACCCGGATGAGGCTCTTGAGTGGAATTAAGGCCCTCATCTGGGTTTTTACACTACTATGGCTCCAATCTTCTCAGACCCTAAACCCTAAACCCTAAACCTAAACCCTAAACCCTAAACCCTAAACCCTAAACCCTAAACCCTAAACCCTAAACCCTAAACCCTAAACCCTAAACCCGCGTGGCCCCAGAGTGTGCGGCAGGCCTGTGGAGTGGCCGTCTTTCCCCCCTGCTCCAGCCTCAGCCGATCCTTCATCACCTGTGCTTGGGGTTTAGGGTTTAGGGTTTAGGGTTTAGGGTTTAGGGTTTAGGGTTTAGGGTTTAGGGTTTAGGGTTTAGGGTTTAGGGTTTAGGGTTTAGGGTTTAAGAACCCAATGCCGACTTCTTGTAGGCTGCCAACTTCCCAAGAAGGCCCATGTGTAGTACCATTTTGGAATTAGCGTTGGGTACCCGAGAACCCCATTTGTTGAGGTTTTGGGGTACCTAATACCATGGAACTATAATATGGGTACCCCCAAACAACTTCCAGAACGGTACTAGACAGGGACCCCTTTGGGTTCTGGTAGCTTCTTTCCACGACTATCACAAAACCCCCCCGAACCTCGCAGGATCCCTGTTCAGGGTTTCGGGTGTAGGGTTTAGGGTTAGGGATTACCCAACGCGTCCAGGAATACTCCGATTTCCTCCATGAAGCGTGGGGTTCCAACCTAAATCCTAAACACTCCCCAGCTAACACGAAAGTTGACTTTGCCAGGCATTCATACTCACCACACTAAACCCTGAACTCTTAAGGAATTGGATGCTGTCTCCAATTTTGCCTTTCCACTCCACTTTGGACTGGTACCTGTGGCAAATGGTTTCTATCACCTGCTCGCACTTGCTTCCTTCCCCTGTACCAAAAAGGTCGTCAACATGTAGGAGAAGCCCACGCAACGTGTCTCAACTTCGCATGAGTGATGGGCTCTCCACAAATGCCTCAATTTGGCATTGCTCCAAGGAACTGTGCCAGGACGTTGTTCCGTCGCGTTGGCCTGGAAGCATCTTATGCAGCCATGCATTCTCGCATGACAAACCACTGTCGGAGTAGCCTGACTCACCATGAGGAGCATCGGTAACGTCCGATGCAAACGCTTTCCATCCTTCTTCTTTCCGATGCATGTAGAGTGAAGGAAGAGGGTTTAGGGTTTAGGGTTTAGGGTTTAGGGTTTAGGGTTTAGGGTTCAATGGAACCGGAGGCTGAAGCCCTCAAGCCCTGAATGCTCGAGCCCCACGGCCCCACCGCCCCAACCCTAAACCCTAAACCCTAAACCCTACACCCTAAACCCTAAACCCTAGACCTTAAGCCCTAACACGTTAAGCCTTTATACCCAAACCCAAACCTGAAGCCTTCAAACCAAAACCCAAGTCTTAAGCCCTAAAGCCTTAAGCCTTCAAACCTAAACCCAAACCTTAAGCCCTAAAACCGAAACCCATACCTTCCAAAGCCCCAAGCCCTACTTGCACAGGGGCCCCGAGGCCTTATCGCGGAATGTCGTGGAATTGAAGACACCGGTCCGCCTCACGACCTGGCAAGGCACATATGCGGTGGGATTTTGTGGGTTCAGGGATTTCGGTTTGTTTGTGTTTTTTGCGGCGGGGGGGCGGGGGGGGGGGGGGGTGGGGGTTAGGGGTTTAGGGTTTTGTTGGGGGGTTTAGGGTTGTGGGGTTTAGGGTTCAGGGGGCTTAGTGATTTTGAGGGTCTAGGGGTTTAGTGTTTTTGGGTGGTTTAGGGTTCAGGGGATTTGGGGCTTAGTTTTGAGTTTAGGCCTATAGCTTTCAGGGTAGTTACACGACCCTTCGTACGAGCAAGGTCGTAGCAAAGCAGGTGGGGGTGTCGATTCCCACGGAAAACAGGCAGTTAGGAGTCCAACAAGTCAACGCAACTCCGATTGTTTCAGGTGCAAGGTTCAGAGTGAAACGAGGTTGACCAGGGCCTGAGAGTGATTGCACTTGGGGTTGAAGGAGTGCCTGGTCTAAGGCGGCATCCATACAAAAAGATTCAGTATTCACTATCCAGGATCCCCATTCCAATTAAACCCCAAGCTCTCCTGAACGCTTAAACAGGCCCCATTTTCGGGGGCATGTTAAGTAGGCCCGTTTCTGCGCTCATAGTCTTCGCTTTCTGCTGTGAAGGGGGTTGAATCACGGCCCGCGGGATGAAGGTTTATAGGCTTTAGAGTAAAGGGTTTCGGTTTAGAACTTTAAACCCTTCACTCACAGCAAAACCAAAAGATCTGACCCCAAATTTGGAGCTTGCACTGGATAGGGCAATCGCACTTGCAGGTTCAGCCCTAAACCCTAAACCCTAAACCCTAAACCCTAAACCCTAAACCCTAAACCCTAAACCCGGTGGCCAAAAACCCACTTATAGCCCTCTGAGGGATGTAATAATCTTATGAGGCTTCTATTCACGGGTCATGACATAGCTGCAGCTCTTCTTGGAGGTTCAGGGTACTTCTAACCTTGGATTGTAGCTTTAGGGGTTTAGGGTTTAGGGTTTAGGGTTTAGGGTTTAGGGCCGCTTAGAACTGTACTTACTAGCCCCCTAAATCCTCCAAGTAGGTTGCAAGTAGGCATATACTTTAATTGGGGTTGCCAGTACCCATGAACCTGCAAGTGCTTCTAGGACCGTAGGCATTGTGGGTTCAAGGCTTAAAGCATTGCTAGGATGGGCTTTCAGGCCCTAGAATCCCCACAATCAACCCTGTTAAGGGCCCTTTTAAGGGGTTATCGGGTATAATAGCCCATGCTGGTTAGGGAGCCTAGCAACAGTTCGGCGCCTTCGCCGTGCGCGTCGACCGCTTCATGGCACGATTGGGCCGGAAGTCGTTTGGGGCCGACATGGACGGCTCGCAATCCTGAGTTGGACCATTACCCTAAACCCTAACCCTAAACCCTAAACCCTAAACCCTAAACCCTAAACCCTAGAACTAAATCCTGAAAACGCAAACCCTGAACTCCTTTTGGGATTTCAGGCTTCTTCATGGTTCAGGGCGCATTCTCGCCTCGACCCCTAACCCCCAACTCCTCTACTTCCGTTGCTTTTGGGCCGGCAACCCTAAACCCAAGAACCTACACCCGAAACTAAACCCTTCAAACTCTACAAAAGAAGCACGGCAAGGGACAAAGGTGTGCGAATCCCTGGACTCCTGTAACCTTCAGCCCCTAGCCCCAAATCCGAGTCGCAAAAGCCAGAACCGAGTTTAACTCCAACAAACCCCGCAAAACGCTCGAAATACTTTTAAGCCCGTCTAAACCCATCGAACCTTTGAAACCCAAAGCTAAGACCTTTCAAACTCATTTTAGACCCCCGCTAAGCCCCTTAAAACACCCTGAACGCTAAGCCCTAAACCCTCTAAGCCCTCGGCCCTTCTAGAGAACCTGCAGTCCTCTGTCTTCTGCCCCCTACACCCTAAACCCTAAACCCTACACCCTAAACCCTAAACCCTAAACCCTAAACCCTAAACCCTAAACCCCAACGTCTTCTGAGTGCAGCCAAGTGACCACCTCCGCATCGATGATGTCCATGAGGGCCTTGGGATGGTCGTTCATCGCCTGCGGAAGAAAGTTCAAGCGCTTGTGGCTTACAGCAAACTCTAGGGGGTGTAGGGTTTAGGGTTTAGGGTTTAGGGATTAGGGTTTAGGGTTTAGGGTTTAGGGTTTAGGGTTTAGGGTGGAACATCATTATGCTCCTACCCCAAGAGGGTTAGCAAAGGGAATCCCAGCACTAAACCATCTTCCAACTTTATGGAGCTTACTGCATAGGACTGATACACAAAAAACTCTGAAAAGCCATGTGGACCCCGAACCCTGCGCCTAACACAAACAGAAAGCCGAAGTATATAAACCCTGAACCCTAAACCCAAAAGCTAAAACAAACAAATCTTACCCCAAAAAGACCCTACGTTTAGGCCTTAGGAGTTAGGGTTCAGGGCTTGGGGTCTAGGTGGGCTAGCGGTTACATTGTTGTATTAGGCTTCGAAGAGATGTAGGCTTTCTGGCATGACTTCAAGAGGTGTAGTTTAGGGCTGAGGTCTTAGGTTTCTTGAGGTTGAGGGTACCATGTAAATCTGAAACCTTGAGATGTTCCCCCCTTTTCTAACAGTTCGTTCTTATAGGGATTAATAGTACCCCCTATTATATTCCCTCTTGAGGACTGTTAGTATGAGGGGGAACATCCCAACTGAAATCCCCTGAGCCCCTAAACAGCCCCGAAGTATGTTCTTGTTGTATTTCAGGCGAGGGCTTAGGATTTGGGGTTGAGGGTCAAAACGGCAGCACCGCAAGGATTGGAGCATTCTTGGGGGGGGGGGGGGGGGGGGGGGGGTACATAAGGTGTACGCCCTAAAACCTAAAACCTAAACCCTAAACCCCAATCCCTAAACCCCAAATCCTGAACCCTAAACCCTAAACCCTATCCTAGGAAATACCCATGTCCAGGATGACATCAGAGCGGTGAGGTTTCTATGCTTTACATTGGGTCCTTTTTTGGGTACCCTACATAAGAGGGGGCCGCCTTCTAGCCCCAAAAGGACCATCATTTAGAGAAATCACTGCATGTTCAAAGGGTCAAGAGCCTCAAGCAACAAAAATGAACCTTGAGCCTGGCGTTTAGGGCTTGACGATGGGTGGAATAGGGCTTGAAAAGGCTTACTCCGCAAGATCACAGCAGCTGGCACCTGTGCGAGAACGTTGTGGTTGGTGTTCATTCCTCGATTCTCCTGAGGCGCAGGCGCCCTTAGAAGGATAAGCCTCAAACGAAGAAAGAATAAGATGGCGTTAACCTTATGCCCTAGGAGGACGGAGTTCGGGTTTAGGGCTTCGGGTGTTTGGGTTGAGGGGTTCAGGGATTTAGGGCTTAAGGATCTTGCGGTTTGAGGTTGTAGGGTTTCAGGGTTTTTGGCTCTTAGGCTTTTGGGGTTTAAGGGTTTGAGGGTTTTACCCTAAACTCTAAACCCTAAACCCTAAAACCTAAACCCTGAACCCTAAACCCTGGGGGTTTGAGGGTTTTAGGGATGAGGGTTTGTGCGCTCTTGGGTGCGTACTGGGGACTCTTTGGCTCTTTGGCTGCAGTCACCGGGAAAAGGGGCCACAGCTTCAGGAAACCCTACATGCTGAGTTGGCTTCAGGGTTCAGGGTTCAGGGTTTTGGGTTTAGGGTTTGGAGCTTGGGGTTCAGGGTTCCACTAAGAAGCCACAGGATCCGAACGCCCAAGCCCTTAACCCGAATGCACTATTGACTTACCCTCAGTCCCGATCCTCCAACCATCTCTAGAGAAGCCCTGAAAGCCTCAAAGCTCTTGGCGCTCGGGGTTTAGGGTCTCGTGTCACAAAAAACCTCAACCCGAAGATTTAGGGTTTCTTTGGCGAAGGGTACAAGGCTTAGGGCTGAGAGCGATTGCTGCCTGTAAACAACTCGGGCCATGCGTACTATCACGAGGAGGGGACCCCTTACTATACTTCCTATACTAGCTATAGTTAAGGGACGTAGAACCTAAGTTAGGATCCTTAGAACCTGATTTAGGCTTCTTAGAACTCTGCTGATAACTAGGGGGGGGGCTCATCGTAGGCAGACTTCGCTCATCCCTTAGGAGCAAGACCCTGCACCCAAAGGCACTGATAATGAACCCAAGGCAACACTAGCTCATGGTTGGGATCGTATTTTAAACTTTTAAATGTATATTCCTTACTGGGTTTAAGTACCCTTAAACATGTAGAATGTTACCCAGCTATGACAAAGAACAAGCCCAATAAGCATGTACATCCAACGCCAACAACCCTGCACCACCCCTAAACCCCAACCCCCCCCCCCCCCCCCCCACAACGCTCAAACAGTTTAGGCACGAGTATAGCTCTCGAAATTAGGATCCCTTGTTTTGGTCTACATAGTACGGCACCCACCCCAAACCCTAAACCCTGAACCCTGAACCCTACATACCAATTTAGAGGAAATGTCCTCTACGGCTTAGTCGGTTGTGGGTTAGGGTGTAGGGGTTGGGAATGAGGGCTTTGGGTTTCGGGGCTTACAGGTGCTCCTAAGCCTCCGAGTCCTCAAGCCAGATTCATCCCCAAGCTCGTAAAGTTCGGGTTTAGGGTTTAGGGTTTGGGGTTTAGGGCTTAGGGTTTAGGGCTTCGAGAAGCTACAGCTCTACATCGCATCGGCCTAACCATGTCCGGAACCGAACCCCTGGCAACCTCGACCCCAAATCCCCCTAACCCGAATCCCTAAACCCTACAGCCACGGTCCTGAAAGCGGAAAAGCCCCTGGTCGTAGGCTGTCGGGAGGATAAGACCTCAGAAGCGGGCTGGGCGGATTGAGATGTACAGGCTTTGAGGGTTTCGGGTCTGCGGTTTTGGGGTGTGGGCTGTCGGGCTTAGGGCTCAGGGTTTGGATCTAGGGCTTGGGGCTTAGGTTCTTTTAGCAGGGTCGGGAAAGGTTGCTGCTCAGTTTGCTCAGACTTTGGGGGCTTCAAGCTTTAGGCCTTTCGCGTTTGGGATATCAGTCAGGGCTTCTTGGCGGGTTGCCCGGTAGAGTTCTGTTAGGGTTTGGGTTTAGACCTGAGGCTTTCGGCTGACTGATGGGTCTTAACTACTCTTTCGGGCCGATGCCTTAAAAAAGACCACCCAAAAGCAGAAGGGTTCGGGGTCTAAGCTTTACGGGCTATAGGTGATTCATAGTTTAAAGTGGTCGAAGACTTGGGGCTTAACCCTAAACCCTAAAGCCTAAAGCCTGAGCTTATAAACCCTAAACCCCAAACCCCAAAACCCAAACCATAAACCCTAAACCCTAAACCCTAAACAAACCCTAAACCCTAAACCCTAAATTTAAACCCTAAACCCTAAACCCTAAACCCTAAACCCTAAACAAACCCTAAACCCTAAACCCTAAACCCTAAACCCTGAACCCTAAACCCTAAACCCTAAACCCTAAACCCTAAACCCTAAACCCTACCACCTCCAAAGCCCGGACAAACCCGCAGCCGGGCCGCCCAGGTCCTGCATGGAGACCAGGGCCGCCTTGTTCAGGGGATGCCGGGCCATGGAATCGTCGTTGTCCAGCAGATCCTCTCCCAACATCCAGGGATGTCGACTGAGAATTCGGGTTTAGGGTTTAGGGTTTAGGGTTTAGGGCTTAGGGTTTGGGGTTTAAGTGAACTCCCCCAACCACAAAACCCCCAAAGAGTCTTCTCTAAGAATTCACTAGTGTTTGGGGTTTAGGGCTTAATGTGGAAATCTTGGTGTAATTGGGGGTTGGGATTCGAGATCACTTCCCCACCAGCCGCTTTGAGAAAGCTTCTTTGCTCCTTGGTCCCTGATATTGCGCTTCACTTGCTCCAGGCTTCTGACTCTCGGGAAGTCAGGCCCGAAGAATTACATAGTCGAAGCCGCGCTAGCCCCTGGCCACCGTCGACATGCACCAAAGTAGCGGCGCGGAGGCTCTCGTGCACATGCTGCAAGATGTTCGTGTGCTTAGCAGCAACTTGCGCGCCGCCGGGCCACTCTCACTCGGCGACAATGCAAATGCCAGCAGGACGAACGTCTTCTCAGTGGTTTTGCGCGGGACGTGCTGCGCAAGCCATCCCAGTGCGATCATTTTGATTTTGGTTTTGGTTGGGGCCCGAGTTTAGCTAAGGTGACAAGTAGGTTCACTGGGTTCTTGAGAAAGCCTGTGAGCCCTAAAGGGGGAAGCTTGTTAGTTGCTGAGTCGGCGCATGTCGTCTCCGTGGAACATGCATGTGGGAACCATGAGCTGAAACTCCCCAGTTAAAACTTGCATCCGAAACCTTAAACCCCAAGCCCTACACCCTAAACTCGCACTACTTCAAATTCTACTTTGGATCCCAAAGGTTGTACCCCTGGTCTTGTGGACCGTTTTATATGCCCTTTACACGCACCTTCCCCACAGGAAAACAAAGGGGCCATAAACGGTGTCTGCTTCGGGAGCCCCTAAAACCCTCAACCCTTTTTGGGATATTCTCAGCTGCGGGAGCCCGAATGTGAGTCCAAGGCTGAGAGGCGGGAGGGGGGGGGGGGGGTGCGTCTCGGTTCATCAGACCTTCGCGCCTTGAGGGGTGCTGAGGAGCTTTCGGATTTCAGGGTGCATCTCATGGCTTTAGGGATGTAGGGGCAAGGCTCGGGCCGACATGAACCCACACCCGCATGACTAAATCCGAAGCCCTGAACCCTGAACCCTGAACCCTAAACCCTAAAACCTAAACCCTAAACCCTAAACCCTAAACCCTAAACCCTAACACCCCTGAAAGCTCCTCCTCCTCTGCCTCTTTGGGCAAGTCATCTTCGATGGCCGGCCCGGCACCTTCTTCACAAGCCCCTCACCCCCGGACCCTGCTCCTAACCCCTAAGCCCTACACCCTAAAACCTTCACCTTAAAAATCATGGATGTGGAGCCACTAGAAGCTCTCAGCTAAACACCCGCAAGCTCCGGAAACCCCGGGTCCCTAAACTCTAAAACCTAAACCCCAAACCCTAAACCCTAAACCCTAAATCCCAAACCCCAAGCCCAAAACCCTAAACCCTCAATCTGAAGCCGGAGGCTTGTCGCTTGTCCAGGCCAAGGGGCTATGGAGGGTCTTCGCCGCAAAGTTGGCCCACAGCATCTCCTGAAAGGGCTTCGGATTTAGGATATTTAGGGTTTAGGGTTTAGGGTTTAGGGTTTAGGGTTTAGGGTTTAGGATTTAGGGTTTAGGGTTTTTGGTTTAGGGTTTAGGATATTGAGGGTTTAAGGAGATCGGGGCTCGGGGAGCTGGCGAGTTTTTTTTGGTGCGTTTTTGGGGGGATTGAATCTAAGGGTTTAGGGTTTAGGATAGGTGGGGTTTAGGGTTTAGGGTTTAGGGTTTAGGGTTTAGGGTTTAGGGTTTAGGGTTTAGGGTTTAGGGTTTAGGGTTTAGGGTTTAGGGTTTGAGGGTAGAGGGTTTCGGGGTAGAAGTCTAGAGGGTTTGGAGGAGAGGCCGCTCGGCCTCTGAGGGTAAGAACACAGGCTGTCAATAGAGCATCAAGGGCCTCCCTCATTTCTTTTTTTTTTTACGTAGTTGCGGAAGGTATCTACTCCTTACCGTAAGCCAACTAAGAGAACAAGCTACGCCCCTCGTAGTTGCGACTAGACTCTGCGACTGGACCCTTTTCGAGGCAGCTGGATGCTGATGTGTCCGAGGCTTCCTTCAGCATCAGGCCATGTCCGGCACGAGTGGCCTCAGAAGATCCCAATAAAGGGATGGGCCGGCTTGTTTCGGGGAAACCCAGATCGCAACTGCTCCTCTGGGCGCATGGGCACACTGCCATCGACAAGGGCAGGAAGGCGGTGAACAAATATGCGCTTGCGGCTCTATGTTCAAGTGGGAGCGGTCGCCAACCGCGCCTCCTGCTTCGATTTCTCGCGACCACTCCCCACCGCAAGCAAATGAGTCGAGATGTCCAACATCATGTCATACCAAGCTTGCTCCGGAGCTACTGTAGTGGTCGGAATAAGTACTAATATTTTCCCGTATGGCCCCTTGATCATTCTGCTACAAGAGCCCCCCAAAACCCTATTCCAATAATTCAGGCTCCTACAGTAGGCTGTCAGACGGGCCCGCTGTTAAGACTGCCAGAGCCGCCCCCACTAAGAGCCCCCTGTTATATTGTGAAAGAAAAACCGACCATGTAACAATCCACAGCCCCAAGAGTCTCAATCCCCGGCCCCAAGAGTCTCAACCCTCTGAACCATAAACACTGAACCCTATATGACTACAACCCCGACGTCACAAAGCCTTCCGCCCACAAGGCCCCAAAACCCCAAAACACCCGATAGGGTATTACGGGTTCAGGGTAGAGGGCTCACGTATCAAGCGAGCCCGTGCGAGTATGACTGCGTAAGCTGCGTGGCCCAGCACACACTTCACAAGGGTGTCGTATGGCCGAGAAGCTGAGCCTTGAAACTAAACACCAGACATCTGAAACCTTCAGGTTTTAGGGTTTTGGGGATGAAGGGCTAGCCCCAAAGCTATAGAAACCCCAATCCGAAACCTTTAAGAAGCCTCATTCTAAAGCTATACAGTATAAACCCCAATCCAAGACCTTTAAGAAGCCTCATTCTTGAGGAAGTCGGCGGCATCAACGGTACCGCGCTTGCTGGGCGCCTGAAGGGGAAGAGGGCTTTACCTTATACTTAGTTGCTGAGCTCATAAGCCCCCTAACAAGTGTACACTTTTAGTTCTATGGGGGGTTATAGTATCCCAAAAAGTGTAACGTGTACTCACTCAGCTACTAAGTATAAACAAAACCCTAAATCCAGGTTCCTGAGATTCGCGGAACCTGGAAAATCCGTCAACCCGATAATTTCTGCATACCCTGTACACCCTACACACCCTAAAGACCGTAGAAACCCCATAAACCGTGCGAACCCTATAAACCCTATGAACCCTAGAAACCCTGTAGACCCTTAACCCTGTAAACCCTGTGAACCCTATGTTAACAACGTTGCAAAAGCCCTACATATGAATACATACATAAATCCATAAATAAATATGCGAATATATATATGTATACATACATACATACATACATACATACATACATACATACATACATACATACATACATACATACATACATACATACATACATACACACATATAGCAATCTTGATCCATGCATGTTTAATTTAAATCTTCTTGTATTTACTGTGTTTTTGTTTATATATGTCATATGTACACCCTAGAAACCCCTGAGAATCTCCTTAACCCTAACGCCCGCAGCGCGCACCGCGGTCCTTGTCCTTGGGCACGAGGGGCGGCAGCGTCACGGAGCCCAATGAGCCTTCTAAGGCCTTGGCCACTGGGCTCTCAGAGGATCCCGGGCTTTTGGAAAAAAAGGGTTTAGGGTTTAGGGTTTAGGGTTTAGGGTTTAGGGTTTAGGGTTTAGGGTTTAGGTTTCAAATCCGGGAATGCTGCGCACCCTAGACCACAAACCCTAAACCCCGTTTTTGTTTTCTAATTCTGGCTTCCTCCGGCTCTGAGGGGGGGTGGTGGCTAGCTTCTCTTGGCAGCCCTCGGAGCACCGGAAGATTGCTCTTGGCGACTGGGAAGAAGACGGTGGCCCTGGAAGCTCCAGGAGAACTTTTTGCGTGGGATTTCTCTGAGAGCCTTCATGGAAAGAATCTGTTTTTGACCGCCAGTAAGTGGGGGAGGGGAGGGATGAGAGATGTAACTGGTGCGTGAATCGCAACAGTACAAGCAGCAAGGTGGACAGTGGATAGGCGTCTCCTCTTCCTTCCACCGGGAACTGTGGCAGCGGAGTCTGAGCAGGTTTTCCGCAGGAAGTGCTGCGCACCACAAGGGGGGTGTCATAAAGTTTTGCAACAGACACATTCGATAACAAACAAAGACAAATGTCGATGGCGTTGTGCTGAATGTGTCAGAAGTCGCCTGCCTTGCTGCCTGAAAAAATGAATGCGGTGCGTCAAAAGACTTTGGTAAGCCAAACCATACCTACGTACAACTTAATACCCTGCACAATGAGACCAAGGCCTAAACCCTAAACCCTAAATTCTAGTCCCTGAACCCTGAACCCTAAACCCTAACCCCCCACCAACATCTGTGCGCGCCCAGTGTCGGGCTTTTCCTCCGTGCTGGGGCTTTCCGGGGGCGCCTGCTCATGAGCATGTAGGGCTCACGCGTAGGGTTGAGGGCTTGCGCGGCTTAGCCCTACAAGCCTCCCAGGGTTTAGGGTTTGGGGTTTAGGGTTTAGGGTTTAGGGTTTAGGATTTAGGGTTTAGGGTTTAGGGGGTTCAAGGTTCCATGACATGGCTTAGGGTATTGGGGGTCCATGTAGGCATCTGCCCTAGAGCCCCAAGTCCCTCTTTACCCTAAACCCTAAACCCTAAACCCTAAACCCTAAACCCTAAACCCTAAACCCTAAACCAGCTTTGGGGTTCAGAGCTTGAGGGTCTTCGGGCGCTTGGGATTGATTGAGGTCAGACCGCCCCCAAAAGCCCTGAGCTGGAGAAGCTCTTTCAAAGAAGGGCCCGTAAAGAACTACCATTTGCTTAAGAACCCCAAAAACCTAAAAGATGATCATCCCGATATTGCCCTTATAAGGAAGAGTCTTTTCATCTTCTTGCGGGGTTGCTAAGCAATTGGTAGAGAATACCCCCAAAAAAAGCCCCCTGAAGTTCCCAGCCCGGAACCTTAATGGCGTGTGCGCAGAGGGTTGGGGTCGAGTTTCGGATGTAAGGGTCTGGGCCGAACATAAGTTCTAGCCTTCCCACTTAGAAGCCCCTTAAGTGCCCCAATATGGTTATAAGTACAGTTACAAGTACAGTTATAAGTACAGTTAATAAGTACCATGAACCTTCAAGTACACCTTGAACCCTCGGCCCTAAACCTAAATAGCACAGCATCTTACAAAGTACGGCATGGCTTCGGGAGCCCCAAGCCCCAGCTTTTCGTCCTTATGGCCCCCCCTACCCCCCACCTCCCACCTACACTCCCTCCCTCCCTCCCCCCCTACCAGCCACCCGAAACAATAAACCCTAAACTCCCTAAACTCCCCTAAACTCCCTAAACTCCCTAAACTCCCTAAACTTCCTAAACTCCCCAAACTCCCTAAACCCTAAACCCTCCCACCCCGCCCCCCCCCCGCCCCACCCCGCCCCCCCCCTCCCCCTCACGAGGTGCCTGGAAGCTCCGTGCCTTCGGCCCGGTGCAGCCTGGCTGCTCCTGCAAGTCCTGGTAGGCAAGGTGCCGCTTTTTGGGATTTGAGGTTTAGGGGTCCGGGGGTTTGGGGTTTAGGGTTTAGAGGTTTGGGGTTTCGAGGTTTAGGGTTTAGGAGTTTAGGGGTTTGGGGTTTCGAGGTTTAGGCTTTAGGAGTTTAGGGTTGAGTGTACGAGGTTTCGGGTTTGGGGCGTAGGGGTCAAAAAGGGCTTGAGGGCTGTTAGGGTGTCAGGGTACACCAACCTAAGTGAGGCCGAAGAGCACTCCCAGTTAAGTATTGAAAACACACAAACCAACCCCACTTCTGCTTCTGCGAAGTGCTTGGGGCTTGCTTTGTTGGGTATTCCCTAAACCCTAAGCCCTTAAACCCTAAACTCTAAACCTGAAACTACGAAACCTGAGTGGCGCACTGAATTTTGGGAAGCATCTTCTGAGCTTAGATTCGGGGGCCCTAGAAAAAAGAAATTTCTCATGGCGGTATAAGGGCTATATAGCGATGAGGGGGCACTGAAAATCAAAAAGGCATTCTCAGATCAACCCCTGTCTAAACCCTAAACCCTAAACCCTAACCCTAAACCCTAAACCTTAAACCCTACACCCCACACCCCAAACCCTAAACCCTAAACCCTAAACCCGGGCTTCTTGAGAAGCTGTCCTTCGACTTCTTCAGCACGGCGTTGGAGTTGTTGAGCAGCGTGACAGTCAGGGCATGGCTCTCGCCTGGCAAGAGTATGGGTGTTTCAGGGTTTCGGGTTTAGGTTTAGGGTTTAGGGTTTAGGGTTTTGGGTTTAGGGTTTAGGGTTAGAGGAAGGTTGGGCTTCCTAGTTGCTGAGTACCCTGGGTCAAAAAAGGTTAACCTTTCAATTCGGGTAGAATCATATTTGGGCCACGGGATTTCAGGTTTGAAAGATAGGGCTTCGGGCTTAGGATTTAGGCTGTGCATTTGGGATTTGAGGATTTAGTGTAGGGTCAAAGAGTGGTTTTACCTTTCAGGATACTGAAGATGGTTGGACTTTGTTGCGGTGCCCGTGTGACAGCGGGGATGCTAATGGATGAGTCCTCAGGGCCCTCAAGGGGTTCAACATCAAGTGCCTCGGGGGGTTTGTTTCGGGTTTCAAGGCTTACAAGCCGTTGGGTGCTGTGTGTGGGGCCCTTTATCCTACATCCTGAACCTTGACCCGCAAAGACTCCCAGCCTAAGATCCCGAAGTCTACGCCTCAACCCCCCGTAAACACCAAACCCTAAACACCAAATCCTAAACCCTGAACCCTAAACCCTAAACCCTAAACACTAAATCCTAAACCCTAAATATCCCAAAAGTCCTATAAACCCTAAAACTTCACCTCTTTCCAGAAGAAGCTTTTCGGGCAGTTTGGACTGGACACCTCGCTGCCTGCCAACCCTGCCATCCCGTAAGGGTTCCATGTACCCATACGGTTGGGGTTTAGGGTTTAGGGTTTAGGGTTTAAGGGTTAAGGGTTTAGGGTTTAGGGTTTATATAGGGTTTAGGGTTTATGGTTTAGGGTTTAGGGTGTTCAAGGGTTTAAGGGTTTAAGGGTTTAAGGTTTTAAGGGTTTAAGGGTTTAGGATTATGGGTTTGGATCCTAACTTAGGTTATAAGTCCCTTAACTATAGCTAGTGTACTAAAGGGGCCCCTCCTTGTAAAGCCTAAACCCTAAACCCTCGCCTCTTTCCGAAAAAAAAACTTTTAGGGCAGTTTTGGCTGGACACCTCAATGTCTGCATCCCTACAGGGTTCCATGTACCCATACGGTTGGGGTTTAGGGTTCGGGTTTCGGGGTTTGGGGTTTAGGGTTTAGGGTACATCAAAGCTACTCTGCAGGCACCTCTTTTCGGGCAGAAATTATCATCTGAAGTAGGGTTTACAGTCTTTTGTATCCCCAAAAAGACACCAATTTTATACACTCACCAACATTAAAAAAAAAAAACAGAAGCCGAAATGTACCCACCCTAAGCCCTAAAACCGAAAACCCCTAAAACCCCTAAACCCGAAACCTGAAACCCTAAACGCCTAAACGCCTAAACGCCTAAACCCCTAAACCCCGAAACCCCTAAACCCCTACACCCCTAAAACCCTAAACCCCTAAACCCCTAAACCCCAAAAACCCTAAGCCCCAAACCCTAACCCTAAACCCTAAACCCAACGAAAGGACTCTCCACTTCATCACGCCTAGAAAGCGCTTTGCCACTTCGTAGCCCGTTCTAAAGGCGATGGTTGCCTGGCCCGAAGGTGTGGCTATGTTCAGTGTTTTTTGGGATTTGTTTGGTGTTATGGGGTCATATGTACGTAGCATGTATATGCAATATGCGATATGTATAAGTATATGTGTATATGTATATGTATATATGTAGATGTATATGTATATGTATATGTATATGTATATGTATATATGTAGATGTATATGAATACATCATATGTCTATGTATCGTACAGCTATCTGGGGCTGCTAGAAGATTATCTTGCCAACGGCCGCAGGTACCGAACTCCAAGCTTGGCCCTCAGCGTCTGATTTTAGGTAGGGTTTAGGGTTTAGGGTTTAGGGTTTAGGGTTTAGGGTTTAGGGTTTAGGGTTTAGGGTTTAGGGTTTAGGGTTTAGGGTTTAGGGTTTAGGGTTTAGGGTTTAGGGTTTAGGGTTTAGGGTTTAGGGTTTAGGGTTTAGGGTTTAGGGTTTAGGGTTTAGGGTTTTTAGGGTTTAGGGTTTAGGGTTTAGGGTTTAGGGTTTAGGGTTTAGGGCTTAGGTGAGCTCCCCGAACAAGCTTAACAAATTGGAGTACGGGCCCTGGTGACCCCAACGTGTCTCGGGCTTCGGGCTTTTGGCTTAGGGGTCCTAACGCCCAAGCGTCCTAAACCCTAAACCCTAAACCCTAAACCCCAAACCCTAAACCCCCAAAACCCTAAATCCTAACCCCCTAAATCTTAAGCCCCTCAACCCTAAACCCCCACACCCTAAATCCTACATTGGAAACCTCTAGGATATGAGGGTTGAACCTTTCAGCACAGTGTTCGCAGCCTGGGAGCCCTAGACATCTAAACGCCCGAAGTCGCATGAGGCCCTACACCCCCAAAAAACCAAAACCCTGAACGCCTACAGCCACACACAAGGAGGCCCCTAAACCCTAAACCCTAAACCCTAAACCCTAAACCCCAAACCCCAAACCCTAAACCCTAAACCCTAAACCCTAAAAGGCCTGATCCCACTGTTGCATGTGCTCCCGCTCCAAGCCCACGTTGTGGTAGGCGATCGAGAGGATCGTGTAGTCATCCTGGCTGGCCTTCCGTAGGGCGTAGGGTTTATGGTTTAGGGTTTAGGGTTTAGGGTTTGGGGTTTGGGGTTTGGGGTTTAGGGTTTAGGGTTTATACGGCACCTTTATACAAGTAACTTAGGGAACCACCCATATTAGGTGGCGTAGGAGGTTTTGCTTTTAGTGGTTTGGATCTAGGTGCTACGACTTCGGGTGTACCCAAGCCCACCTTCACTTGCTACACCTAGCTCTTTAAAGTAGTTCCTGGATGTCCCTTCTTTGTCAAAATTGTCCCACCTAGCTCTTAAAGTAGTTCCTGGATGTCCCTTCTTTGTCAAAATTGTCCCACCTAGCTCTTAAAGTAGTTCCTGGATGTCCCTTCTTTGTCAAAATTGTCCCCTTCTGTTGCCTACAAGTCATGTAGCCACCCATCTGCACATGAAAACGGCATGGAAAGGAGGACAGCCAGCTCCTCCCGCCTGCGTGTCTACGCTCTCGATCTTCTTGTTCCTCAGGGCTTGCACATTTCAAACCTACTGTTTGCGTAAAAACCCCCGCCCCCCAAGAACAAAAGATAATAATCCCGATATGGCCCTTATAAGGAAGAACATCCCTTTGCTTTCTTCATGTCATTCTATTTTTTGAGGGTTGCCAAGCAAATAGTAGTAATGAGTGTCACGGCTCAGCTTCGAGGGTTATAGGGCTTACGGTTCCCTAAGCCCTAAACCCGAAACCCTAAACCATTGACAGATATGAAACAGGGTTTATACTACTGTTATTGGTGAGTGTATATAAGGTTCCGTTTTTAACTATTGGTGAGTGTATATACCTGGTGTCCTTTTGGGTACAAGAAATATATATCCTACTTCATATGCTGCAAGGGGTAGGGTTTAGAGGGTTCAAGCTTGAAGCTTCGGACAGTTGATAGCTCAGAGGTTCCATACCCGAAGGCCTCCCGCCTCCAAGGCCTGAAATGCCTCAACCTCATGGGTTCCCACCCTACTACCCCTCTATACTTCCCCCCCTCGGTGCCCCACAGAACTGAGGCCATTTAAAGGCAAACGAGCTGCAGCATGTCTAAAGCAACCAAGGAATGCTGTAGCGCCTCAGCTGAGGAGGGGGGGGGGAGGTCGGCGCTTAGGTTGATGGTTTCGGTTGAGGTTTCCTGTAGCCCCAAACCCTACGAACCCCTAAACCCGCCATTCGTTTTGGGGATACAGGCAGGCGCAAGTTAAAGGTCGGACTTGTGGGGGACGGCAGGAACGAAAGCGAGTGCAGTTGCTCGAGAAGCCGAAGGAGAATTTTGTCGACCGAACAGGAAAGAGTGAGACCTGCAATTAAACCCTAAACCTAAAAACCCTAAACCCTAAACCTAAAACACCCTCACCCTAAACCAAAAAAACCCAGACAATAAAGCCCTAGTCTTGTTGGCTCAGCGCCGCCTCCTCCTGTCAAGCTCCCCTGAACTCCTGGAAGCTCCTGTTTAAACCCCAGATCCACAATCCTAGCTGCTACTAGACACGGGAGAAACCTAGGAATAAAGAGGGTACCCTTTTTGGTTTTAAGGGGATATCAAGGCAACCCCAGCCCTTAAAAAAAAGGAAACAAGGGCCTACTCCCGGTCCTGGCTGCTACAAGAATTTGGAGGGCTGAGGGCCTATGGGGTTCAGGGTTCAGGTTTAGGGCTCAGGGCTTTGGGTTTGAGAATCTCTGCTACAAGTAGAGTGGGCCCTCTGAAACATAATATAGGGCTCGGGGCTTTGGGATTGAGAATCTCTACTACTAGTAGAATGGGCCCTCTGAACATATTGCGAACAATAGTCCTCTTAAACCCTCAACCCTAACCCCTAAACCCTGAACCCTAAACCCTAAACCTTACACCCAAGAAGGGCAAATATGAAATGCCCCCAGACCCCTATCGAGTCTAGGGTTCAGGGCCTAATACGGGTTGGGGCCTTAGGCTAAGGGTTCTACAGCTCTACACCCCAAAACCAAAACCTTGGGGTTCAGGGTTTAGGGTCTAGGGTTTAGGTTTAGGTTCCCTTATAAGCCCCTTTAAGCAAAAAAGGGGCACCCTTTTGAAGCCTAGGTTACTGGGCAGCCTAGAGGGTGCAGGGTTTAGGGTTCGACCCTTTAAAGCCCTGGCACGGAGCTCCTGGGCCCCCGAAGCCCCCTGCCCCCTAACCTGCAACTCCTGAACACAAAAGAGGCCACAAAAACTAAACCCTAAACCCTAAACCCTAAACCCTAAACCCTAAACCCTGAACCCTAAACCCTAAACCCTAAACCCCAAATCCTAAACCCTAAAGCCAAACCCTGTACTTGCATGGACCATCCTGCAAGGATACATCGAAGCTGTCCGCACACATTCAGGGAATTGGGTTGAAGGCTTTGGGGGTTTAGGTCTAGGGCTTAGGTTTAGGGTTAAGGTTGAGGGTTTAGGGTTGGCGAGCCTTGTCGTGCTTCTCCAGCTTGGAGAGCACGGCGCAAAGATTGAGATGTGTTCCCGCCAGGGTCACCTATCAGAGCAACCCAAAGCCATAAACCCTGGACCCTAAACCCTGTACCCTAGACCCTGAACCCTAACCCCCCAAATCCCTGAACCCAACGTCTCAAGGTCTGGAGGTTTAGGGTTTTGGGGCGGCCTAGACTCCTACTCCCCCTTCCCACCCCCCCCCCCCCCCCCCCCCCCCCCCCCCCCCCCCCGAAATCCGAGACCCGTAAATCCCCAAGCCCAAATTACTCTGAATCCTTAAAAACCTCAAACACTAAATCGCTAAGACCCTAAAACCCTAAACCGCGAAGACGCTAAACCCTAAACCCGAAGACTTTACGTTTTAGGGCTATAAGGCTTAGGGTTCTAGGGCTTCAGGCTTCCGAAACCTAGCCTCTCAACTGTAAGCCCCTGAACCACAGCCTTACAAGGAGGGGCCCCAATACTATACTGACCACTGTGAGGCGACTCATAACCTAAGTTAGGGTCCATAGAACCCAGTTAGGAGGGGCGGGGCCCTCCTTGTATTTTAGGGTTTCGCGGTCCGCCAAAGCCCGGCCTCGTCTGTTTTGAGTTCCACTTCCAGCCTCAGCTATTTTGAACTTTGGCATGTGTTGTATTTTTTCCATTTTATCCAAAACCCTAAACCCTAAACCCTGTACCCTGTACCCTAAACCCTAAACCCTAAACCCAAGATTGCCTGAGAGAAGCTTTGAGCGAATCCGCGTTCAAAGGAGCACAGGAGACCACGAACTATTTCAAGCATCCAGCATTAATTACGCCCAAGCCGCCCAAAATCACTAACCGAATAATTGTTTCAGACATCCTTTTACACCCTAAACCCCAAACCCTAGACCCTATAACCGAATGTTTCAAAACCTCCTTGAAAGGGAAGCCGAGAAGCTTCAGCGCTCTTCGCAAGTAGCCCAAGGCTCCATGGAACTTGCCCACCTTCGCGCGCTCTCGGAAGTGTGGGCTTCTAAAACCCTAAACCCTACAAAGCCGAAACCCTAAATCCAAAACCCTAAACCCTAAATCCTGGTTTACTAGACCTTGGTGTTTGGCCAGCCTGCAAAACACACCCTACACCAAGGCCACGAACAAAGTTTTTTTCGGTAGGGGTAGTTCTACACTCCCCCCTGAAGAAAAAAGTTGTTCAATGCTCCCTTCGGTTTAGGGTTTAGGGACATGAATATTTGTTGATCAAGTATACCTAGAGCTTGCTGCTTTCAGATGCCAAAAAGCCGTAAACCCCCCGACCCTGAACCCTGAGCTTGTCCACGAGACTGATGGGGGATTCGCTACTTGAGGAAGGACTTTTTGAGTACCCAAAACAGGTATGGTCATTTCTTTAAATTAGGGTTAGGGTCCCTTTTGGTGTTACTATTCTAAATATTTAGGGTACCCAAAGGGGGACCATAATTAGGAAACTGACCATGTGTGTGTATATATATACATATATACATACGTATGTATGTATGTATGTATGTATGTATGTATGTATGTATGTATGTATGTATGTATGTATGTATATGTAGGCCCTGCATGAACGTCGGACCCTCAAGCAGGTCTTCATGATTGAGACAAACCTCCCAGGCGAAGATGGTACCTCAAGTTATAGGGCTAGGGCTTAGGGTTCTAAACCCTAAACCCTAAACCCCAAACCCCAAACCCTAAACCCTAAACCCTAAACCCAAGATCGACCCGTCCTTGATACCTGAACGGAGTCCGAGCTCAACCCTAAACCGTTGGGTGCTTTCGAGTTTTGTGCAGTTCGGGCTTAGGAAGCCTCAGCCTTAAAACCATGAAGGTTGAGAGGCTAGGATTTGGGTTTTAGGGGTTTAGGGGTTTAGGGGTTTAGGGGTTTAGGGGTTTAGGGGTTTAGGGGTTTAGGGGTTTAGGGGTTTAGGGGTTTAGGGGTTTAGGGGTTTAGGGGTTAGGGGTTTAGGGGTAGGGTTTAGGAGTTTAGGGGTTTAGGGGTTTAGGGGTTTAGGGGTTTAGGGGTTTAGGGGTTTAGGGGTTTAGGGGTTTAGGGGTTTAGGGGTTTAGGGGTTAGGAGGTTTAGGGTTTAGGGTTGAGGGTTTAGGGGTAGGGTTTAGGGGTTTAAGGCAAGTTTAGGGTTTAGGGTTTAGGAGTTTGGGGGGCCTTTTTGTAGTAGCAGCCCAGGTTGTTGCAGGTCGTGGCCAGCAAGGAGGTGCTGTCGCCTCGCGGGAACCGTGCCGAAAGAGGTTTGGGGGTTTGTTTAGGGGGGTGTTTGGGGTTAGAGGGTCGAGGTTTTAGGGTTTTAGGGGGGGGGGGGGGTTAGGGGTTTCAGGGGGGTTTAGAGGGTTTAGGGGGTTAGGGGGTTTAGGGGGGCAGAGCGATCTCTCCTCTCGCCAACTAAGTTCTGATTCCCCAAATCCTCATACCCTAAGCCCAACAATCGGGCACCCTAAACCCTAAACCCTAAACCCTAAACCCTAAACCCTAAGCCCTAAACCCTAAACCCTAAACCCTAAACCCTAAACCCTAAACCCCGGGTGAACTACCTGGAAACTTGTCCAGAGCCCGACTGCTTAGCCGACTCTTCGAACTCCCTACATGGAGGGCCCCCCCCCCCCCTTACTATACTAGCTATAGTTCAGTGACTTATCACCGAAGTTAGGATCCTATGATGCAATCTGGGGCTGTTATAACTCTACTTATAGCTAGGGGGGGGGGGGGGGGTGGAAGGGGGTCCCTCCTTTGTACACCCACGTATGCCCCAAAACCCTAAACCGAAACCCTGAACCCTCAGAATGCCAGCCTGGCAGAAACCTTAACCTTCCATCTAAGCCTGTAGGGCGGAACAGTCCTTATAGTTCAGGGTTGTTAGAGGGGCCCCACATTCCTTACAGTTCAGGGGGTTGCAAAAGGGAGGCCCCTGGCACAGGATTTAGATTCAGACCCCCATGTGCCTTCCATCTGGTTCGCCAGAAGGATGGCTTCGGCATACCTTGAGCAACCGCCCTAAGCCCTAGGCCCTAGCCCTTACTCCCAAACCGTCAAACCCTAAACCCTCACACCCTAAGCCCTACTCCCCAAAAACACGAAAACCCTAAACCGCAGTGTTCCGCAGTGGTACTGAGTATTTTTGGGATTCAAATAACCCTACCTGAACCCCAACAGCAGCAGACAACCGGCAAAGGGTTTAGGGTTCGACGTGAGCTCTATAACCCGCCCTCTCCCCCACCTAGCCGACCCTAGCCCTAAGCCCTAACCCCAAATTTTTAAACCCTGAACTCCTCACACTAAACCCTAAACCCTAAACCCTAAACCCTAAACCCTAAACCCTAAACCCTAAACCCTAAACCCCTGCATGCGGCCACAGGTCTTCAGCTGCTCAAAGGCAGCCTTCACGTCCCCCTGTCGCAGCCGGTCCATGCCATCCTTCAGGATGCCACATGGTTTCATTGTTTCCCTCGAATAGGGTTTAGGGTTTAGGGTTTAGGGTTTAGGGTTTAGGGTTTAGGGTT